TGGCCCAGGGTTTTCACCGAAGATTCCCCGGGTTCCAAGTATTCAGCCCTTCAACCAGTGTGTTCCACTTTCGTCAGTCCCCAGCAGTACGAAAGAGCCTGTTTAGATTTCTGCTGAAGGCTGTTAAAAACACACGGATGGAGGCCCACCCCGCCCAAGATTCTGTGAAGCACTGAACTCACTGCAGGTTCCCTGGGGTTTAGGACATCCCCTGCAGGCTCAGAGTGTGGGAGGTCAGGCCACAGTGGAGATAAGCCCTCTGTCAGAACACACCCCAGAATGCTTTACTTCACACGCTGCAAAGCCACCTCCTTCCCCTGCACTGCTGCCGTCCTGCAGCGGACATAAAGTGGGATGGGGCAGAGGGGGACAGCGGCAGGTGAGGAGGGGCCCCTCAGCACCAGCATCAGGCAGGGTATCAGCTGCCCGGTGAGTGCAAGAGAAGTGGCTGCAGCTGGCCTGCGTGGGGACCTAGACAGGAGTGGGGTGGGTGAGATGGAGAGAGTGCCTGGGATTACTGTGTGGGTGGCTATGAAACAGAAAGAGATGGGGAAGAGGGAGAGAAAGAGGCTCAATGTGCACGGAGGGGTGGGACAGGGACTGTGCACGCATGGAACTGCCCGCAGGAGAGGGGGTGTGTGCAGGAGGGGTTCCAAGGTAGGAATGTAAGCGGACGAAAATGGAAGCGGGAGCATGCTTTCAACCTGCGTGTCTATTGGACATGTGTCTTATGTCAGTGCACTCACGTGTCTGCAGGCTTGTGTTCCGGTCAGAGGCCAGCTCCATATGCACGTGTGAGGCATGCACATGTGAGAGTCAGATGTGCATGGTTGAGAGGGGGCCAGAGTATGCCCTGTGCATGGATGTGTGTGCACACGTGTGCAAGTGCGAGTGCATAAGAACATGTGTGTGTGTCTATATGCCATGTGTGTATATGAGTGTCTATGCATCTGCCAAAGTGCATATGCACACGAGTGTACCAGTGAGCTCTATGGGAGTCTGTGAGCAGTGCTCCTACACTGTTGCCCACCTATTTAGGTCACTGTGGTGTTGGGTAGCAGGAGGTGGATTGGGTGACCTCCTGCCCAGCCTTCTGCTCTGGCACCTGCACACCCCCAGGCCTGAAGTCACCTTATCCTTGGCCCAGTGATCACTGCCAGCCCTTATCCTGACACGTTTTTCACCACCTCAACACGACAGACATACCCAGGGACAGGCTCATAGGACAACTCAAATCCACGTCCCAGCCTCATCCCAGAGGCTCAGCACCATGTCTGCTAGAGGTGTACAGGCCTCCAGAGTCTCCAAACCTTCCCGCCCAATCTCAAGTGGCCGACAGAGGAAGCAAAGTCACTTTCCCTAAGACTCCCAGCCAAGAAGAGACTGGGTCAGCAGGGGTAGGCCAGCAGGCTGGCAGAATCCCTCACCATCCCCCAGGGCCTGAGCAACCTGTTTTTCAGCCCCAGGTGGGTGGAAGAACACAGTCTGCTGCCTCATCTCCATGGAAACTAAGCAGCACAGAGGGTAGTTAAGAGCCTGGGCTCTGAGGACCCAAGGTTCAAATCCCCACTCCTCCACCCACAAGCCCGGACGCTGTGACAAGTCATGGAAGTATCACAGGCCATCGTTTCCTCATCTGTAAAGCAAAGGCAGAAGAAGTATGGACTCCACAGCTCTCTGTGTCCTTCCTGCTGTGAAGTGCTCTGTGCAGAACATTAGACGCAGCGCCCAGCAGCCGAGCATGGGCCCTGGCCTCTGGAGTCTCAATCCTCACCAGAGCCTCAGGGAGCTCGACCAGTTAGGACCCGCTGGGACTCTGTGGAGAGGGGATGGCTCAACGTGGGGTGCTCGCTCTTCATGACCCGGGGGTCAGCTAATACTGACTGAGGCCTGCACTGTATTTTCTTCCCACAGACATGTTCCCAGTGCACTGCAGCTGAGGGCAGGGCAGTTGACTGGCAGGCTGCTGCCCACCTCTCCTCCCCACACCCCTTCCCCTCCATCCAGCCAACGACCCCCTGCTACCCTGGCTGGTACACAGTCCAGAGGGTCAAATTCACCTCCCGCCCTGCCCCAATGATGGCCTCTGCAGTCCCTGAGCAAAAGACACTGCAGCCCATGCTTAAAACTCCCTGGGAGCACGCTCAGGAGACAGGTATAATTGCGGAAGGATGGGTGTAATTGTCTAAAGATGCTTATAATCCTCTGGCAATAATGGAGGAAACTTTAAAGGGAAGCTCTAATCCACTAATAACCTGGCAACTCCTCTTCTCTCCGGATCTCTGGGCAGAGAGAAGGGACGTTGGCCCATCCCTTTCTTGAGGGAGCAGAAACACAGTGTGGCGCTGACCCAAGACCACCTGGATTTCTACTCGCCTGCCAGGCCAGGCTGCCTGCCTGCCTGCCTCTACCTCCAAGCCTGCCCTGCCCCTTCCAGATCGCCTCTGCCTGGCCTGGCCTGAGAAATGTTCAGGCCACGATGGGGGTGACCCCTGGCTGGACATTAAAGATAGGAACGAACCGGATGGTAAGGCCCGCAGAACACATTCAGAAGCTCAGCTCTGACACTGGCTGTGTGACTTTGGGCAAAGCGACTTCAGCCTCCAACTCTCAATTGCCTCACTTGTAAAATGGGAAGAGTAATTGCCTGCCTTACAAGACCTGAGTAAGACAGTGAGAATGAAATACGAATTAAATGACTCTGCCCAGTGTGCCATACCACCCCCAAAGCTCCAAGTGTACTGCCACTGAGCCATTCCGATTCACAGAGAGCCTAGAGCACAGAGCAGAACTGCCCCCGGGGACTTCTGAGACTGTCACTCTTTAAGGGAGCAGATAGCCTCGTCTTCCTCCCATGGAGCAGCTGGTGGTTTTGAACTGCTGCCTTTTCTATTCCCAAGCATTCACAAGCAACCCGTTCTCTTACAATTTCATAACAGGGTGCTTGCTATGAGCGTCAGTCCTGTATTCAGAAAACTGGCTGAATCCTGGCTTAGCACTTTGCTGCTAGTCAGACGTCTCGGACCAGTCCTTTACGGTCTCGGAGCCTCGATCTTCCCATCTGTAGAATGGGGCTAGTCACAGTCCACGTGCCTGGTGGAGATTTGCGATGAGATTGAGTGAACAGTCCCGGTAAAGCACAGGAGGCCTGCCTGGGGCAGGAGGGCTTGACAAGCGGTAGCTGATGTGTTGTCCCGCTGACGATCGTCTTAATTCATGTCAGTACCCCTGGTGTCCTTACCGAAATTATTCTGAAAATGTCCCCACCCGGCCACATACAAGCCCATCCCAACTTCACCACAGCTCTAGAAACCCATGTTTCTATTTTAGTGTTTGCACAGATAAAGAAACTGAAGGTCACAAAGAGGAAGGGATTTGCCTAGGGCTTACCTAGCCAGTGGCCAGGCCAGTCATAGTCCCAGAAAAGGGAGGGAGGGAGCCCGGAGGCGCCCAGCAACAGGGGACCTTGGTTGATTCTGGTGTGAGGCTACTTGACCTGTCCTGGGGCCCCTGGTTCCTTCTCCCTGTCCCAGATGAATTAAGCCCCCCACTTGTTTCTGTCTAGCTCCCTGTGTGATCCAGGGCCCAGGGGTGATTTGGTGGCCACAGGGGTGGGGTGGGGCGGAGTGTAGTAGGGGGATGGTGGTCAGGGCCTAGAGAGAATTATTTCAGACAGAAGAGTAGGCGGGCCAGCTGGTGTGATGCCAGCACCGCCTGCAGAGAAATCAAGTGTTCCTTCAGTTTCCTGACGCAGGAGCCCTCCCAGGCCTGCCCCCCCTCCCCCCCTGCACTGAGCTGGCTGGCAGTGGCTCCTGCCTGTGCCGAGCATGGCCCTGCTCACGTCCTCCCCATCTGGACCCACTTCAGCGTTTCCATGGATGGACCTGGCCCCTGGAGGTGATTCAGTGTGGGTTTCCCTGTCCCGCCCTGCTCCCTGCTCTCCAGACGCCTGCGGGAGAGCGGGCGTCATTCCTTCCTTCCTTCCTTCCTTCCTTCCTCCCTTCCTCTGGGCCAGCTTTCCCAGCATGCTGTCCTCTAGCCTCACTGCAGCCCAGGTGGTCCCACCTTTGTCCTCGCTGGGGGCATGGAGCCCATTCCCACTCACAGCCACCCCCACGTGACAGAGCTGGCCTGCCCGGAGAGTTCCTGAGGCTGTCATGTAGATGGAAGGGTATCACCAGGTCTGGGGGTGGGGGTAGGGGTGTTGAACCACCCGTCTTCCGGTTAGTAGCTTAACCAATGCAACACCGGGTACTTTTGGTCATTCTTAATAGGCATCCTGCTGGGTAAAGTAGAGGGGCAGCAAAAGAGAGGGAGGCCCTGGGCCAGATGGACTCGTGCAGTGGTCGCCACAATGGACTTGTTTTAAGAACGATTGTGAGGATGGTGCAGGACCGGGCAGTGTTTCCGTCTGTTGTACACAGGATCGCTGTGAGGGCGTCTAGCAACCACAGAGAGGGAAATGAGGCCCAGGTGAGGGACCTGGGCCCCCCTCAGCCACTGACACCCCCCTGGTCAAGCAGCCTCTTCCTCTGTGGGCCTGCCCCGCCCCCCCTGTGATGTGAGGGGCTTCCAGTGTCCCTCAGCAGCTCCTGCAGGGGCGGGTGGGCAGTGGCCATGTCTGTTCTGTTCAGGGTGACCTCCCCAGCAGCCTGCTTGTCTCTGTGCTCACTCCCTCCTGCCTCTTCACCCCTCAGGCGCTGGTTACCTCGGTGATGAAAGGGCAAATGAGAGCGAGAGATGTGCTTTTTGTGAACCAAGCCTGATCGTGAGGCTTTTTCTCCCGGCCTTCTCACGTGTCCTCTCTGGCAGAGAGAACGGGGTTCCACGTGGGGCAGGCAGGCTGCAGGCTGCACGGAGCCCACAGCTGCCCTGCCTCTCCACACTCGCTCCTGCGGTCAGCCTTCTGGGCTGGGTGGGGGGACTGCTGTGTATCCTGGGACAGCACAAGCAGGACCTCCTGCACCAGGGCTGGGGGAGAAGTGACACTCCAAGCTTACCTGGTTTCTGGGCCACTCTGGGGCCGGGGCCAGCTGCCAGCACCTGCCGGGACTTCACCATGTCCCAGTCCTGACTGGTCCTGTTGTCATGCTGGGCGCCCCCTCTTGCCTTCCTAGAGCAGCTGGGCGGCCGGATGTCCAGGAGTCTGGGCAGCTGCAGTGTCCCTTGGGCAGTTGTGCAGATGGACTTGCCCCGACTCCTGCTGGCCTCCCCATCCTCCTCCAGGTCCGTGAGCCCTGCCTCTCCCTGCAGGCCCTCCTCACCACCACTGTCCTCCATCTCTAGGGCCAGGCACCTGTAGCTCCCATCGGGGATTCGAAAAGAACAGGGAGAGGGCCCTCCTTCACTGAGCCCCAGAGGTGGCGATGCGAGGTGGGGGCCCAGCATGGCGCAGAGACGTGGGCTGCCTGCAGCTTCACCTGCCTCACACCGCTGGGGCGACGTCAGGAAAATCCTTCCAGGGTGGGTGGGTTCCCTTCAAGGTGGTCTGTCTGCAGAAGAAGGAGAGAAACAGCAGGTGAGAGAGCTTGCAGGGTGTTGCCAGCGGTCCCTAAGATCTGCTCATCTGGGGGTCCCTGGATGATTCACGTGGGGACCACGCGAAGGCACTAGCCGAAAGCTTGGTGGCTCAGTTGACCCAGAGGCTAGCACTCCACTTCCAAATAACCAGCCTCTGAGACCCCGATGGGGCATCGCTCTCCTCCAACCCATGTGGGGTCACCAGGCGCTGACTCCAGGACAGCAGGTTTAGGGCTCATCTTGAATAGCCCACCCAGAGAACTTGGGGTGTAGGCCCCACACATCCATGGGAAAGGGTTGACCAAATTTCAGTCATTGGCCATCAGATTTCGGTCACATCCTTATGCCACCTGAAACTTTACTTACTTAATACTTTCCCTTTATCTAACATTAAAGAAGTTGCTTTTGTTACTTGAGAATTATCGTGAAGCAATCAAGGTAGGAAAACCACACGGACGCTGAACCAGGTCACTTGTTCCCCCTCAATACCCGTTAAATGCATCCCTGGTTATTTAAAGAGATTTTTCCTGGCAGCACCCAGAGCAAATGTTCTACTGTGCCACCACCGGTGTGTGCTCCACTCTGGGAGTCACGGGGCGGCGGCAGGGCAGGGGACACACCGCGGAGGCTGGGCCCTCGAGGGCCCTACCCCAGGAAAAGGAGGTGTGGCTGGTGTGCATTCGTGGCCCGAATTTGCATCCCAGTTCAAATCCCACTTCTGCCACCAGTGTGGTGGCCAGCAAGTCACCTGACCTTTCTGAACCTCAGCTTTTCCTTTGTAACATGGGATTGTACCACTTCTGACTCTCCCGCCTGCCCATCAGGGTGTTATACTGTGACTGTGCCTGGAAACGAGGCCATCGGGGTCACAAATACCAGCAGGGTCCCCACTGGTGGACAGGGTTCAGTGGCACTGCCAGGCTAGGGCAGTGTAGGGAGAAAGGCCTGGCAATCTAGTTTGAAAATCAGCCAGTGAAAGCCCCGTGGATCACAACAGAATACTGTCCACTAGAGTGCAGGAAGATGCGTCCCCTCGGTGGACATACCCGGGGTCAGCCACGATGAGGATGGGGTGGGGCCAGACAATGTTTCCTTCCATGGCACAAGGCGCTGAAGCCGACTCAACAGCCGAGAACCACCACCGCTGGCTTCAGGCCGCACGGGGGACTGAATGAGAACATGCGTGCCGATGACAGCGCGGTTTTAGAGACAGAGCTCACGACACCCTTCATTCATCTCATAACAACTTCTTGAGCTCCTGTTCTATTTCCAACACCCTCAGAGGTCCCGGGCAGACAGCGAGGGATACAGAAGACGCGGTGTCCCCGCCCATGAAGCCTCAAAGGCGCCGAATGATCACCCGAGCATCACCGCTCAGAGCATGGTTGTCGTTAGTGCTGAGCAGGGGGACGATGGCCCGGGAGCGGTGGGGAGGGACGTCCGCCCTGGAGTTGGCAGGGCTGGCGGACAGATGGAGAGTGGGTGTGGAGGAAGAGGGAGGAGCCCAGGTTCCTTACTCTGACAGTGATTTCATTAATAGAGATTAGGGGTAAACGGGAAAGAGCAGGCGTTGTTCGGGGAGCCGGGAGATGAGTTAGAGTTTGGATTTCCGGGGGAGAGGAGCAGCAGGCACTTCCAAGTAGGGGCCTGAAGGAGGCGAGTTCCAGGCGGGGGACAATGGTTTGGCAAGTGTCTGTGGAGGCACAGGGTGGACGTAGGCGAGATGTTCCCAGGATAGACAGAGGACTGAAGACGGGACAGCGGCCAATTACATTTGAGAGAAAACCTCGACATGAACAGAGCCTGGTTATCAGTTCAACCCTGCCACAACTTAGTTGGGTGGACTTGGGCATGTCCCTCTACTCTGAGCCTCGCCCCTCCACGTCTCTGAATCTCACCTGTTCTATCGCAAAGGGGGAGCTCACTCCTCCCTCTCACCCCCACAGTGGCTCTGCACTGCGGCAGCAAGAATCCAGTGAACATTGAAAGGCTGTGGACACCAATGACCTCGGGGCCTGGCTGACCTCAGCTCAGCCTGGAGGCCACACTCTGCCCGCAGGCAGGCATTGGGCTCCCGTCCCCACCCAGGCTTCTGGTCCAAGCAGCGCCAGGGGCCGCTGGGGGGAAGGGAACAGAGAAGAGTGCCTGGCCAGGCCCGGCAGACCTGAGCCAACCCGGGAAAGGCAAACTAGCACCAGGACCTGAAAGATAACCAGACACCTGTTGTCAGAGCCTCCGCTGCGGGCACACGGGACAGGAAGCCAGCCTCCTGGGTCTTCCGTGACATGGAACACACACTGAGCCCATGGGCACTGGGTCCTCGAGGACCCCGGGGCTCTCGGGGTGTCAGCGTAGAACGGTCTGCATTGAATGGTCAGACTCAAGTCAAATGGCAGCTGCTTCTGGGTTGGGTTGGGTTTGGGGTGGAGGGTGTGTCTGTGTGTCAATCTTGTGGCAGTAGTTCACCGGGTCTTTCCTAGGTGGTGCCACAGGGGTCAATCCAAGCCACCAACCTTTTGGTTAGGAGCTGAGCACCCCCTCTTGGAGCCTCCTGGGGAGCCTGAGCCAGTGGCTATCTGGTGGACTGGGGTTCCAGGAGGCCCCACGCGTGTCTGGTGGAGCTGTGCCCCACAGGGTTCTCAATACTTGGCTTCCCTCGATAGATCGCCAGCCCCCACTTCCCTCCTGAGGACTTGTAGGCTCAGCCCGGGAAAGTGACTTCCTGCACAAGTCCCGACGAGGCCGGGGTTTGAGCTTGGCCCTGACCCTGAGACGCTAACGGTGGACACAGAGACCCATGAGAGCCACTTCTAGGCCCTCCCCCTTCTCCAGCGTCCCTCTCACTCTGACTGCCACCCACCCTGCCGACCACGAGCGTTTCAAAGAGCCTTAGCCTCCCAGGAGCGAAAACCCCCCAACCACACTCTCTGCTAGCGGGACAATGCCGACTCAGAGTGACCCTCTAGGACAAGGTAGATTCGCCCCTGTGGGTTTCTGGAGACCCTAAATCTTTACAGGAATAAAGATGAAAAAGCCTCATCTTTCTCTCGCTGACCACCTGGCGGTTTTGAACTGCTGACTTTGCAGTTCGCAGGCCAATGTGTAACCACTAGGCCAGCAGGGGTCCTCAGACTTCCAGAAAGGGGCCTAGAATTCTGGGGAGACCTGTCTGGCCCTTGCTGGCTAGGCGGCTGTGGGGCAGGTGTCTTCTGCTATCTAGAGTCAGGGCTCCCCCGGGCATGGGAGCAGATGGTGTGGGAGGGTCCATCCACCTCTGTTGCAGCTGACACTGAACCTTGCAGCCAGCCCCCACCCTGCACCCCGCATCGCACAGCCAGATGGCAGGAGGCAGAAGGAGTGGGCGTGGGGGGGCAGGGCTCCCTCTGACTCCCCACGGGGGCCTTGCCTCCCTCCATTCCTGCTTCTGTTTTGCAGTATTTGATGGTGGCCGTGGTTTCCAGGAAAGAAGAGAGAGGCGGGAACGTTAACTTGCTGCCACCCACACAAATATTTTTGGCCCGCATTGTCTTCAGGCTGCCAAGCCAGGAGGGGAGGGGCTGGCAGGAAGGCTGCGACTCAAAGATTCCCCACCACCCCCCCCACCTCAGGAGTCACCCTCTGAGTCCAAGCCCAGCCAGGGGACTTGGGCAACTGAGCCTGGGGCACCCCACCCAGGAGCCATGGGGACGGGGAACCAAAACCATGATGGCAGCTGCCAATGCCCTGTGGCTAAGCCCTTGACCAAACACCCATGTCGCACAAGTGTGGGAGACGTGGGGGAAACTCCAGTGGTGGTGCGGAGCAGACCCGGAGACCAGGCTGCCTGGGACTGGGACTGGGCTTTCCCCAGGGAACCTGAAGCTCAGGAGGTTGCCACTCAGATCCCCACCACCTGTCTGCGTGGACAGCTCTCTGGGGTGGCCAGGAGGGGGCCCCCTTCAGGCTCTGCCCACGTGGGCTGGGGCTCCTAAGGGCTCTCATTCGGACTCCCCAGACCCTCCTTTGAGCCACAAGGCTCCAGCAAAGCAGGGCCAGAGAACCCATCCAAGCCAGTGCTCTCCCCTCAGAGGACTCTGCTGGCTCTTCAACTCTGCCATGACCCACCCCTCCCCGGGGTCACCTCGC